AAAATTATATTGAATGAAAGAAAGAAGTCAGACATAAAAATGGACCTGCTGTCTGATTCTATTTATATGAACGGGTAAAAGTAATATAAAATGACACAAACCAGAGTAAGTGGTTACCAGGGAGAGAGAAGGGAGGAGTGCAGCAGGGGTGGTGAGAGTTCTGCATTTTTATTGACGTGTTGCTTATACAGCACAGTTGCAGTTATCAGAATCCACTATCGTGTGCAGTTAAGATCGGTGCATCTTCATCTGTAAAAGGAAAAAAAAAATTTTTATCCTCAATAGAGTAGGAAGAGAAGATTTGAAATCTAGAGAGAGAAGAACTCCAGTAAAAGACAAATTTGAAGAAAGTCTAAAATAAATCCTGGGAGCCAGCAAGGATCCTGGAGGTGATATCCCTCCTCTGTTCTACTCATCTATGGTGACGATTGTCCCGCCCACCAACGGAGGCTCCTGGGACTTGAACTCAACTCAGGTCCTTCATGCCTGCCAAAGATCTTGCCTCCCATACCAGTATAAGCTTCTCAGAGGGACCATGAGGACAAGGCCCTGTCTAGTGCCTTCCTAACCCCAAGCCTTCCATTTATCCAACCCATGCCACGAACAAGTAAAGACACCCTCACTCACTGCCAATGAGTGGATGCTGACTCACAGCAACCCTAAGGAACAGGGTAGAACTGCCCCTGCGGTTTCCAAGACTCTAGCTTGACTCCAGTAGAAAGCCTCATCTTACTCCTGTGGAGCGGCGGCTGGTCTTGAATTGCTGATCTTGTGATTGGCAGCACAGTATGTAGCCACTATGCCACCAGGGCGCATACAAAGACACCCTAAGTAGTCCTAGGTAGTCCTGGTGACCATGCAAAGCCAGCTTCCCATCCTAGAAGGGTAGTGGGTAAAGACTGTGGGGGGAACCAGTGTTCTGGTTCCTCAGGGATCTACTTTCTCACTGGGGGAGCAGGGAGGTACCCAGGAGTCTGGATGCCTCAATCAGAGGCTCGCTGTGTCTTGGTTCATGTGGTTTCCTGGCTGGAATGCCATGCTCCTCTACTTGCCTGTCCCAGAAAGGCTTAGTCATCATCATTCAAAATCAAGTGCGCCTCGCCTCCTCTCAAAAAGCCAAACTCCCTTGTCAGTGAGTCGATGCTAACTCATAATAACACTGGGTTTCCAAGACTGTAACTCTACATGAGTGGAAAGTCTTGTCTTTCTTATAAGGAACAGCTGATGGTTTTGAACTGCTGACCTTGTAGTGAGCAGCCCAGCGCATAACCACTATACCACACCATTCATCAAGGCCCCATTAGCCTTCCTAAAATCTCTGGGCAAAAGCTCAGCTAGAACTAGAAGTGCCTGCACCCATGAACAATCTAGAAGACATTCTCCATCCAATTGCCTTGTTCGGGGAACCTGCCAACTCTGGCATCCTAGGCCTCAGGGCAATGAATGGACTGAACTCCCAGCCTCCAGGAATGTTCTATTCATCCAGCTACTTGACAAATATCCTTGGAATACCTGCTCTGTGCTGACACTGAAGGATGCTGACTGTAAAAAGAAGAACACAGCCCAGTGCCTCCTCTGAGAAGGCTCACATTCTGCAGGCCCTCGACAGTTACTTAGGACACAATCAGTGGACAGTAAACAGGTGTGTTTGGTGCGGCACGGTGCAGTGAGCCAGCCTGGAGGAGGCTGGGGGGGAGAAGTGGTCTTGGAAGAGGAGAAGTCCTCAGGCAAAGTGGGCAGGAGGATGGCAGAATCCCCACTGGGACAGAACGGCCACACAGATGGGAGAGGAAGTTATGTCCGCTGGCATGCCCCAGACAACATATATAGGGCCTGGGTATCCAGGTCATGAGGACCAGGTAGGGGAAGGCAAAGTGGGTGGGAGGCAGGATCAGAGGAATCCATGGGAGGGGCCCTTCTGGTGGCCCATCATGAAAGGTGAGTTTGTTGATGACAAATCAGAAGAGTCTTGTTTTCAGCAAGCTTTTGGATCAAGAGGAAAGAGCCAGTATAGAAGGCATGGCTGAAGATTTAGGAAAGAAAAAGAATAGTGGTTTCAGAAGAACTTTGCAAAATGGGAGCAAAGGTTTCCTGAATCTTCTCGGCTGGTTGGGGGTAAGTGGGTGAGCACACAGGTAAGAAACCTGGCCTCTGGGCATGCAGGTTGTGGCCATGGGCAGCGGGAGGCCTTCATTTTCTATGAAAGCATAGAGGGGTGCCGGGAGGAGAAGTCACAGTGAACATGACAGGGACCAGAGGAGGGAGCCAACCAAATCTCAGGACGATCTCTTGGTGGGCAGTGCCAAAGAGCCACCCGGTAAAGGCTTAGAAGGAGCGAGCCCTGATGAAGGCTGGCCTGAGCCTGAGCTTATGCAGCTCTCTTAGGCGCTGAGACCGACCCAGTGGACAAGGAACCAGAGCTGCAGCAAAGCACTTCTGCAAAGCAGATAGGGCTTGATGGCCTCATGGCAAACAAAAGGTCAAGACTCACTGGCACCAAAGAACAATGATAGTGGGTGGGTCATCAGTAGAGAACGCTGGCTGCCTCTGAGTCCCTGCTTCACACCGTTGCATGAGAACGTTGCCTCACCTCTGCTGCTCTGGGCTCCGCAAAATGGAATCTAGCCTCATAGCGTGGAGGTAGGGGACAGGACAGGTTATACAGAAAGAGTTGAATGGACAGATGCTTCCCTCTGCCACCCTCTGGGCAGATAGTCTCATAAGCACTTCATGAGCTCCCAGAAAGTTCCAGCAGGATCCAGCACCATTGCTAACTCAATAGCATTCCACACACCTGGCTCCTCAAACTACATTCTCCCATGAACCACACACATACCAGCCTGTGCTTCGAGCTCTGCTCTCAGGAGAACCCAAACACAGTCCTGAAGTTTAAGATCTTCAAAGTGGGCTATTTCAGGAGGATGGTCGGTGCAGAGGGATGGGGGGGACCAAAGCATATGGGGAACCAGAAAAGCCTGTGAGCTAAGAAGAATTGTGAGCCTGGGGCAATGGCTGGCAGGGGAAGGACAGAGTTTGAGGGCCACAGAAACCTGGCTTTGAATGCAGGCCCTACAAATCTTGCCTCTTGGTGCCTCAGCTCTTGACTTACGATGTAGGATGGCAATACCCATATCTGATGAATCGGTAGGATCAAACAAGGTCACCTGAGGTGCCCCACAGTGTTTTGGTATAGTACACAGCAAGCCCTGGACTGATGGCAGCAGGGGTTGTGACCACAATTATCATTTGTACCATCACAATCACACAAACATCTGCTTGGATGTTAGTGGTGATGACCTTCCTAGTCCCACTCATTCCTGGGAAACCAGCGCTGATAAAGAAGCGTCATGGGCTACCAGTAGGAATGTCTCCCGTTGAAGAAATGCTACTTTAATCCCAGCATCTCCACACGGGGGCAGTGTGTCCCCAAGAGCTGAACTCCGGCCAGAGGACACTGAAACACACGTGGTCAGACCCGGCTGCTGTCACACAGCAGAGCTGAACTGCCACCGCCATTGGGGGGACAGTCTGAGCGGCCGCCTGGCACTCTCGGTGTACAGGTGGGCGGGCCAAGGCTTGAGAGCTACGATTCCAGCCACATCTCGTGCGTAGCTCTAGGGTGATTAATCTATAGATCTTAACAGTCCATGATTCCAATTCTCCACGATTCTGAGATTTTCATCCCAGAATTCTGCTACCTCATGATTGTAAGACTGAATCCATGGCTCCCTGCTTGAATAATCATCAGACTACAAGAGCCCACGGTTCTGCTTACTCCAGCACACTGGGTCTGATTCTGTGAATGGAGGATTCCACATCTTACCGTCTCAGTGAGTCAGTCATGTATCGAACCAAACATTGTCGCATCGCCACTGAAGATGTTAGATGTCCACAGCTCTGTGGCCATGACTTTCAGATACCATCGTTTTCTCCATGCAGAAATCCACAATCCCTGCATTCCCTAGTCCACCGGGATCTGTTTCCCTTATCACATCCTGATTCTCTGATGTGTGTTCACAGGCACAACCTTCCCCGTGCGGTTCTGGGAGCTTTCTGAGTCCTAAATCCCACAATCAGTATCCAGAGGTTAGAAGGATTTCTTTTATGGAGACACGTAATCTACAGAGGCTAATCCGAGAAACTGGGAATCCAATCCTGAGTCTACTTCCTCTGGGAACACTGGTAAAGTTATTTCACCTCCCTAACCCTCAGTGCCTTCCTGTAAATACTGAACGGAGGGGGGCTCTGTTCATGCGGGCACCAGAGGGCACTTGTCCCCACCACACTCACAAATCCCTCAATGAGTTCTCTGAGCCAATGATCTGTGCTCGCAGGCAAACCCCTCCAAAGAAGCTGAGCTGGAGACCAGGTTGTTGCTAGTTGCTAGTGAGGGATTCCTGGGACGGCCCCATGTGTACCGAGTGGAGCTGCGACATTCGGGTGTTCAAGGCTGTGGCCCTTCAGAAGCAGAGAGCCAAGCAAGCCTGTCTTCAGAGGCACCTCGGAGTGCCTTCAAACTGCCACTCCTTCAGCTAGTAGTCAAGCATGGGGATGTTGGTGCTACCCTGGGACTCCTTAGCTTTGAAAATATAGCCACAAACTAAGAGAGAACTGGAATGAATGCCCCTGGTTCACCCAGACCCCCATTAGACCCCCGCAGGAAACCTCTGAGATGCACCAGTCATGGGGAAGAGGTGCCCTTGGGAGACTAAGGTGATCACCACCCCGTCCCCCAAGTGGGCAGAGCCATGACACCAGGCTCTACCTACTCAAGCAAAGGCTGTTGTGGGAACCGAGAAGGAATGATGCTGTGTGCTGAAGTGGGGCCTCACATTCACAAATTACACAAAAGTATCACGTGGTTAAA